GAGCCTGTGCATGTTTAATTTTTGCTGTACTTCCTTTAGCAAGGGGGCCCCGTTGAGATGCATTCCCAAGCCACTTTGAATGAAAACTCCAGCCGCGCGGAATGTTCCGTTACTATACGCATTCTTGCCTCTAAAATGCAAATTCGCACACAACTGCTCATATATATACCAGCTTCTGTCAGATGCTAATAGAAAATGGAAGGTACGGTTGGTTATAGATTTTGACTCTTATTGTGAAGAACAATTTCTAGTCATTTAGTGCAACTGAAATAAAAGAAGTTAAAAGTAGTTAGTAACATATGCTATGCGGATCTACACAAGCAAGTGCAAACAACTGGAATAACTGCAAGCGCAGTTCTCGCCTCTTCAGCATGCTGCTTAGCTGCCACAGCCACTTCTCAGCGTCTGCATTTGGCATCTCCGTATTTGGTCAGACACTTTAGCATGCTCCATCATGTTTGTGTACCTGGAGCTTAATGGAACGGGGGTCCCGATAAAGCTTTGGTTCTCACGTAGGAAGCCGTAGAGACGAGCAGTCTGGGCTCGAAGCATGTAAACAAGAAACTAATGGAAAATGCCTTTTACACCCGATGGCATCGCAGAAATCTCCCACGATGTTTTCAAGACACTCCACCGACTAGGTTGCCACGTATGATCTCGTAAGGGTTATTTGCTCCCTCCACTACTTCCTCGACGTCGCTGTCGATCCCTGTCGGAAGTGAAGCTTAGCATAAGGGATACGCCGCAGCCTAGGCACGCACCCTAGAGTTGTGTTTATTCCATATTGTTGTTGGGGTTCCGCGTAGACGAAACAAACTTCGGTTTGGTTGTGCCTGCATGCGATGATGCGAGCTCGCGTTGAACTGCAGTTCGCTGCAACTGATGGTAGGCAACCAGTAGGGGGAGTCTTCGATATGCATATAGCCAAGAAGTTGAGTTTAGCATTTTACCGCAATCCAGCAGGCTCATCCACCGTCGCAAGCGGCCATACGGGCATGATAGAATTTGTGAGGGAGGGCGTAAACGCCTGCCATGTGCCAGTCGTGGGGTTGTTTTGGTCGACGGAACTCCACGTCAACGAGATCGACCGATCAGAATATTAATCCTGTGAATGGCCAAGTAGTGAGTAGACCCAGCTCATCGGAAACGTTTGCTGCACTGTACTTTTGGTGGGGGACTTGAAGCCGAGGCACGTGTGGCACTTTTCATCCGTTTTATGCGCCAACACTAGGTTGCCTCCTGACCCGCCAGGTGACGGGTGAGCTTTGTTGTATCTTAGCAGCTTGTGTACTGGCCTCTTAATATCCACTTCAAGATATAGGACACAGCTATAACTCACAACATAGCTTCGGCCGGGTCCGCTAGGGAGCTTAATGCGATGCAAATAGCTCCCAGAGGGAAGCCGATCCGCAGGAATCTCTTTGCTATTCAGTACAACGGAGAAGTCTGCTTTCTACTGCGCTCGCGTTTGCTGGCATTAACTGCATCGAATAAGCGTATTTGTGGCACTGATTCCACTCATCTTCCCGAAGAGGATGCGAATGCTGTTGGCAGTGCTGGGTGGTGCACTCTGTCATTGCTTCCTGTCCCCCGAACTTTAATTGTGTACTCTGGAGACTGCATGCACTCCCTTTACTGTCTCAGCTGCTGCGTACCTAGGGTTATCTGGTCGTGAACTGGCTTAAAGAAACATTCCCCGTAAATGTTTTAGTCTTCCCCCTGACTTGAGCCCGCACGTTATGCCAATATGGTCACCTATCTTCGTTTCTTGTCCGTCGTCGGCCAAGTGCAGCCACAGGAACTGAGCTAACGAATCGACAGATAGGGTCTATCTCCTCGCCCTGTATCGAGTAACGCCAGCAACCCTTGGCCATAAATACGGACTTGAATAAGAACGTGGCTTGGTCGGAGAGGATCTGCCCGTGTGAAAGCCAGCTCTTTTGGCCTCAGGACTGTGTCGCAGGCTTAGACGCGGTACTGGGTCCAAGGCACTGTCCTAATCACCGATTTGGTTGCTGGCTATTGAGCACTTTTTGTGTGCCTGCAGTTTCGTATTGTGTGTCCTTCCCTATTGCAAAAGAACCAGATGCGCCGCTTGGTCCACGCTCCCCGCTTTCTGAGAGTTAGGCTCGCCGGCTACATTCTGCATACGATTTTGCCCTTTACTTTCTCGCTGGGCGTCCATTTATTCACAGAATCAATAGTAATTGGTTTGCGGGGCATTCGCAAGCCATCTTTCCCTCAACTCAGTCAGGGAGCTTTCCACTACTTCAGTTAGGGGGGTGCTAGTGGTATTCTTCTTTCTTTGATGCGTACGCGCTCCATTGCCATGGAGTGTTCCGGCAGTTGAGACATTAGTTCCTTCCACGGAGCCGAGTCAGTTACAGACTGCCCCGCAGCTAGAATTCACAATGCATGCACACCAGCAACAAGTAGACAAATCATTGTTGGGGGTTGCTTGCAAACACAACGCGTGCAGGGTCACATGGGGACGTCCACCAATGAGCTATAGACGTAGAAACTTGCATTCTACGGACGTGCTTCAGCTCACCATGAGCTGATACTTCTCGATGTAGCCTTCTATCGATTGCTTCTCATACTCATGGTTCCTCAGTTCTGTCGTAGTCTGTTCCCCTAGAGATCTGCGAAAGCCGCTGATTTCGGAAAGCTCCCATACTCCAGATACCCTCTGAGGCTTCCCTCTGTCTGACGTCAGTAATCCACTGCCCCCGCACCGCGACGCAGCTGAGCTCAAACTAGTCGTTGCGGCAAGCGCGTCCAGTTCTTTTTAGCCTCAACGTATTGAGCGTTCCGTTAGTTTAAAACGGTGAGATGCGTTCAGCACTTCTACCCGGTGTAATTAATATTAAGTGCCACCATTGTGTTGCGTCAGTTATATGGTGAAGCCTGATACTGACACTCCCGGTTGTGACTACGGTTCCTTCTGTACAGGCTTTGCATGTCTCAGTTTGCCATCGCAGTGATATACACAAGTGCGTTCTCCCGAAAAGCCTCGGGTCTGCCGCTCTGGAAATGTATGGAGAAACTGCGCCTTCAGGGACCCCCAGCAGCTAGAGCGGCGTGCGTCATCGAGCCACCAGAGCGCTAGGATCTAAAGGAAACGAGACAAACTCGCGTTTTTACAACAGTTGATATGAGCTTCATATCCTCCGCAGAATGTATGTCTTTCGTGGACATTCAGAGAGAAGCGGTTTAGGGGTCTGTATGCTTCAGAAGCCTAAGCCCGTAGCTAAACGCTTTGTTGTGAACTGATTATTTTCGTCGCCTAAGAAAGGGCAAAACTTCGAAAGAGGCTCGGAGGAACTGGGCATCTGCTGAATGTCGCGTGGATTGGAAAACCTTTGTTATAGTCTCCGGTTCCGTAGCCAAAGTGCCTCCCTATCGAGACATCCCCCTGATGCACTATGACAACCCCTTCTGTATTCCTAAAAAAGTTATAGATCTTCTCCTGATCTGTTGATTCGCTGTCTGGCTGAGCCCCGAGTCAACGAACATACGACTGCTGCGACTGCGCATTTTAATTTTGCGTCTATGCTGCTGCCCACCGGAAGCCCTACGGCTCCGTTTTGCTTTTCCCAGAGTTGGCTCGATCTGCTGCGCCACGCCGTCTTCCGGAGAGCTGCGATCGCAGAAGGAGTTACGCTTCCAGCCGTGAAGCATACCACGGTGGCGACGGGACGTCCTGCGCTTCATCTTGCAGTTCTAACTATAAGCCCTGAAGATTCGGTGCCACTCAGGCCGACCTAAACATATTCCAATATTGTGGGTCAGCTATCTTCGGGACCTTCATAACAATTGCACACATAGTGTTCGTTACTGGTATGAGCTCAGGTTTCCTCAGATCAACCATTAGCTAGAGCCGCCGTGAACATGTCAGCCTTCGTCGGGGCCTCAATTTTCTCGACTGCCTCAATAAAAGCATTTTCCCACTCCGCTGCGGTACTCGGGGCAGGGGAGCGCGAAATGGCTGTCTCGAAGAGGCAAACGGACAGTCGCCGACGGAGCGGCGTCCGCGACCTCCTTGACGTCTACTGCACTGGCCAACAATGCATTCAACAGGTATGAGGCTGCAAGCACGTTAGGTGGCTGCTGTGCAAGGGAGTTGTTCTCATTGGCAGCTTCTGGCTTTCAAGGTGGTGACCCTTCAATGCCCATGTCCATCAAGCGAGGCCACACACTTAATCTGTTTTTCGAAGTTTTACCACCGTACGGGCGAGAAAAAAATTACTCCTCGCACCTCCGTCCTAAGGATATGCTGGGAGCTTCAAATGTTCTCACTAATTCCCCGGGGGTCGTAGGAGGGTAAGATGCTCCACCGGAGGTCGGCGCACCCTGTGGGGCGGCGCGTGCACCCGGGTGCATAAGGGGGAAGGATATTGTAACCTGCTTTTCTCCTTATTTTGCTCAGTTACGACTGCCAGCTCATACATATATCAATGGGGAATCTAGCATTTAGCCCTTGTCTAGCGCAGTCTGTAGATGGCGGCCCGTGTGCAGTGTCGGCTGCGCTTCGGCTGCCAACTGTGCATACCCACGAACGTTCACGAGACTCTAGACCACTAGACTCTGGGCCACTAGAGCACGAGAGGAGTTTATGTCATGGGCCACTAGAGCACGTCTTTTGCGAGCCCCTGGGCCACCGACTGGTTGTCTGTGAAGCATGTTCTGACTTGCACAACGTCTGGCCTCCTGTGTGCGCATCTAAGTGCATGTAACTCTCGGCATACCCCTACTGTGTGTTTACAGCAATTAATCTCTTTTTATCAATGAAGGCTGCATATCCTTCTGAACTGTATGAGGCAGATAGGAGTTTGGATTGGGATGCATGCATGAGCTGGGCACCTGCGTTCGTCCTGCAGTGGCCATTTGTACAACCCTGCCCGTGAATGATGGGCAGACGTGTTTGCGAACGTCCCACAGGGTGTGGAAAGCAGGCGAAATATGCATGGAAACTGCCCATCAATGTCTCAGCATCGTGGTCAGTGGGCCTCAACTAAAGATCGTTTCGTGCCGGGCTGTAGTTCGGTGTCTCCCTCCTGCGAGTAGCAGCATAGGCAGCAAACCGTGAAGCGCAATGGTGCAATCAAGCAAAATGTATACAGACACACGCTTGCTGTTGTACTGCTCGTTGCCTCTCAAGTCTACCTCGAGCTTTGCCTTCTTGCTTGCAGCGAAGTCCGTCAACGTCGGAACCTGTGCGATGGACATAACAATAGTAGGACAATAGTAGGGGCCACCCGTTTCTGCAGCTCGCGCACTTGCATGCACTTGAAAGGCGAATCTTCAGCAGCAACGACATGAACAGCAACGCCAGCAACAACGGCAGCAAAAACAGCAACTGAGGCAGGCAACATACTGCGGCTTTCAGCTGCTGGTGCAGCAGCACAGCGAAGCTGTGTTGGTCCAGGGGATCTACCCGAAGCGCAGTATAACGCATGCGTTGCTCTCCGTTATACGTATCAAACTCCGCCTTCACCGTAACTCTGAAGAAGCTCTAGAGGCCGAAAACAAACATATCGCACTCATAGACACCAAAAATTGACACTGCAGTCAAATAATAGACACCGCCAGCTATCTTTAGGCTCTGCGGCTAGCAAACTGCTACACGAGTCGTTTTCCTAAAGCCTAATAATACTGCTTGCCAACGCTCTGCCTTTCTACCGACTTTGAGGATGGAATGCCAGTCAAAGAACTCCTCTTTCTTCTCCGTGTTCCAACACCGCACTTCAGATGCAGGACACCCTAGCAGGGATTGCCCTGCGAGGCAGCAGCAGCAGCAACAGCACCCTGGGGCAGCAAAACTGCACACAAGAAATCTGGGCTGCCCTACAGCCAAATCCAACTGTGCCGACACACACTGTACCCGGTGCAGCAGCAGAAATATAGGGCAAGGGGCTCCGCATCAGCTACCCATATCTGCGAAGCATCTGCAGCTCAAAGAGCCAGTGCTGTCGATGAAGGAAGCAAGCAACATATACCGCCAGTCAGGTGTCACCTGCAGCAAGTACAAGCAAGCAGCGGGTGTAGCCCGTTCGCTGCACATATCAGCTTTCCTCATCTGATGCGGTGCGGAAATCGCCTGTTCAGCTGCGCTGCTTTTGTGTAAGGACGGAAAGTCAACGTATGGGGGATTGCGTCGGCTTACGTGGTTTGTGTTGCAGGGGTAACACGAATATTCATTCAGTGTATCTGCGTGCAGCTTCTTCCTACATGAGGGACAGGCAGCATATGTGTAGATATCCTGCTGCTGCTGCCCCTGTTGCTGCTGCTGCTGCCGCGGCTTCCAGTACACACGACGAACTTGAGCGACAAAGGCGTAGATTCCAGGCTGCAGCGGACACAGCGTAGAGCGCGCAACTGCAGAGAGACACTCCTACCTACATCCTAGACCACGAACCCAAAGCCCTAAGCCCTGCAGTTCAGCAGCGCCAAGAGAAAAGCCTGCAGTGTATGCGCCGCCTGAAGGCACTTACTTCATTTTTGTCTTTGATTTCTTTTATGCCCATTTCCTGCACGGGCTTCCTCTCGCTGGGCGCTCCCTCACCCAACGGCCCCCCACGGGACATACTGAGGAAAGAAAGACTGCTGCCCGTCTGCGGATACAGAGGACAAAGTACAGAAGCCCCATATCCGCATCCCTGATTTATCAAGACCCGCTGAAGGCGCCCAGTAGTTGTGTTGCTGCACCTTCTGCGGATGCAACCGTTATTACGACTGCTCCTATTATTCATACCTAGTGCTACTACTGCTAATGAACTGAAGCGCCTGTGAGGACCGCTGTTGCTGCATTCTTTTTAAGAGGGAACGGTAGTCCCCGCTGGGCAGCGGAAAGCAGGGTTCCGTGTTAGCCTTACGGTGATGTACCACTGCAACATTTCTGCTGCACTGGTTTCTTCCTCCGCAGAAAGAAGACCTGCGCCGGCCTTAAGTATCTGGGACGATTTTGTTGTGCTGGCGCTCCTGGCCCCTCGCCAGTCTCGGATGTTGAGCGCCGTGAGTCCATAGACCTGCGGAAGGGCTGTCGTCTCCGTTATACAGTCAACCTGCACATCCATCACAGTGTCGCAAAACTGCAGTGCATTGCATTGCACTGGCCTATGCAGAAACATCCACAGCCTTCTGAAAAGTTCGGCTTGTTCGCAATAGGAGAACAGGGCTTCCAACAGACGACGAACTCAAAGCCTCGGTAGACGCAAGAAATCCATTCGTTGCCGGGCCAGGGCACCGCTGGCATTAGATTCATTTAAACCAGACAAATGCTACCCTATCCGTAAAAGCGTATAGCCGTCAAGACGTACGTACGCTGGTAGGTAAGAACGCAAAAGCAAACATGTTCTACGGTACACACTGCGCTGCACGGACAGTCCGACGCAGAGGCGTGTATCTGTACCAACAATGATGGACAAGGGTAGTGTTTTACAGACACTCCAACAGAAAGAACTGACTCAGTGTGCGACATCTCACTTGTTCGCCCCACAGGCTTATCTCCATTTCCATCTGGGATTTGTCCCGGACCTTCAACACACGGCGTTTGAGTTCCTCTCCGCTGCTCCTCGCGGTGACAGAAGAAATCGGCTGCATTGAGCCCACACACACCACCCAGCGCTCCGCCTCATAAACAGCATTTTAAAGTCTTCTGTTCACGCACTCTTCAGCGAAGCGGTTGCAGCCACAGACGGTGCACAAGCCAGCGAAGATCATCGCTTGGTGCTAAATTGCAACTGTCTTATTCAAGGTTGTAGGCATCTTCCGATCCTCACCTGAACGTCAACGACGACGGCTAAAACGTCAGTAGGAAACGGACACTCTCGCGTGGAGTTGAAAATGGTCCGGAGAGGCATTGAGCACAAGCTGCGCAACCCAACCCCCCCGTACGTGCGCCGAACAGCTCAGCATCAATCGCCTACGCTGATGCGAAAGCAGACGTTTGGGAGCTCAGGTCAATGCGTATTAAGGGAAAGAGGGCATCCTGGAAGACGGACGTTCTTCATAAACCTTCCAGCATTAACACAAAATCTGAGGTCGACTACTTGCCTTCTTTTGGCGTGAATGGACCCGTCGTCCTCTGCCGGCTTGATGTCCGCCTCCGTTGAAAAGGAAAGTTCATAGTTGTTGCTTAGAGTTGAGAAGCGCTTGTTAGCCACGTTGACTCTGCCGCGGGAGAAGCAGTATACCTGCAGGCCAGAATAGCGTGCACAACCGCAATGCGTGCTGGTGCGGTTGGGCTGTCTACAATGTCAGCTATGCAGCAGAAGGAGAAGGGACATGTCGATCCTGCTGTGCATTTCATGTGTTGCAAGCAATAGATGATGTGCGTCACGGCAGACTTTGCCTTTCTCGAGAGCCCCATGCCACTTCTCGGCAGCGTCCCCCCAAAACTTGGCGCGGATGAGATCGCCCTGCGGCAAAAGGAAGGAGAGCACAAGTCTATTTCTTTTAGACACGCCATTTTGCAAAAAGGTACGCGCAATTTGCAAGGAGGCGCATGCGAAGGCCGGCTAAGAAGCACCAGTGTTCGGGTGCGATGGTGGGGAGATATGCATTGTTCTGTCACCCTGCAGCTGTCGAAGCACATCACGCAGCCACGAAAAATGCCAACGACATGAAGAAGCTAAATGCGTTGCAAAAATAAAGAGGGGCTTACCGCAGAGTCGGTGACGTCAACATGAAAGAATTTGCTGTTGTTCTTGGTCGTTTGCAACGGGCTCTTGTCCACCACTCGCGCCTTAATTTGCCAGCGGTGTACGTAAGGGTTAAGAGAGCTTATGCTCAAGAACCTCCTGAGCACACAGCAGCGGCCTCCGCCAAGCAGATAGTCCCCCAGCTTGACCGCAGACACACAGGGAGGCCACCGCTGCACGAAGGTTACTTCATTGCCTTCTCACTCGCTAGGGGGGCCACCCGAGTCCAGCATTTTCGTAGAAAGTTGAAGATGAAGTTATTCGATGAAATTTAATATTCTTCTTTGTTTGCCTTGGACGCGAGACTTGAGAAACAGAAGCTTCTGCACACTGCGCGCCAGACAACCATCCGGCAGGGAAAGTGAGGAGTTGATGTACGGCTCACTCACTGTGATGCATTTAAAGACAAGCCTTGGCAGCAATGAGGGAGAAGTTGCAGAACACAGACGAAGGAAATCACTGTATAGCAAACGAAAGATTCTTTCACTGGTAGAACTGTGCAACGAAAGTACTGCGGCACACGCCGCAGGAGACTCCAATCTGCAGACCCAGGCTAAAGCAAAAATCCCTAAAGTGATAATTAACCCATTAAAGAAACAAAACAACATCTGCTGCAGATCGTTCTGAATGCCACCAGCCAGCACCACCCCCAACCAGCCAATTCGTAACACCCAACTGGGTTGCGAGCAACAGTGGGGGGAGCGTAGCGATAAGACTTTTGGGGTTGCCAACTGAAATGTTAAACCGGTTGATTAGGATCGAGACAGAAAATACCCTAGAGTCATATATGTCACTACATTGTTTAAAAAAATGTCCCTTTTTAGATCTGGGCGCGCCGGCAGCGGGGTTGAGGGGGTGGTTGTAGTGCCCCTGGGGTTTGGTAGGGGACTACCCGGTCTCCTGGAGGATGTGGATACAGTATTTCGAGACATTCATATCTTTCTAGAAGTAAAGACAGCACATACCAGCGTCATGAGCCAAGTAGGGGCTCAAATCGTATCATGATACTCATTCCACGGGAAACACCACGTGAGCAACCACGGTTCGACAGGGGAACTCAAGGTTTGGCTGAGGATTTGTAAAGTAGAACTTCTAACTTCAGATGAAGGTAGTTGAGCTACAAATTATCCGAAAGAGAGTTAACCTGCAATAGAGCAAGGTATCAGTCGCCCTCATGCCGGCCATCTTTCTGCCGCGGTGGTAAGTCCAATCGAAGCCTGTATACGACGAACTGCAACGAGATCCTGACGCAATACGAATGGTCACGCAAAACAAACAATCAACGTAAGTCGATTTCCAAAATTTATATGTGTCCGAAAAACAGAGTAGGTGGGCCGAAGTTTCTGTGAGTGACCGTTGGATGGCTCGCTGCTGCCCTGAGCAGCACTTGCCCTGGGTCGCGAGCGCGTCTGGTTACTCTTTATACTCCCGGGGGCATCCTGATATTGCGGTTTATCCGCGGTAAGGGAATTCCGGCGGACCTAGCCGTCAGGCAACTAGATATATCTTATCTTAGTGTTGCTTGCTAATACTGGCACTTTCTTCATATTGAAACTCGCACCACACTCGCATTATAGCGAGGCACAATACAGCAGGCTTGGTGTGATACCCCTGGAGTTTAGTAGGGGACCTCCAGCTCTTCTGACTAATTTCGCTCATTTCGCTAACCGCAATATGTATATTTCCCACAAGGATTTTGTAACTCAGACGCGTTCAAACGAAGTAATTTAGCTGCAAAAGCAAGATGAAGCTACTCAAACTATCTCTGTCTGCTGGTACATAGCTACCGGTTTCCGCTGATACCTTCTATACACACGATGTTCAAAGGGCGAAGGAGATGCAACCTCTCCGTACACTCGATGGCGCAGTTCCTGAGGCTACGCTTTGCAGATGGTAGCAGCGGGACAAAAAAATCGGCGAAAATATGGGCTTTGAGTGCACTTCTAGTTTCAAGGCAGAGCGCAGAAAAATTGTAGGGGGATTCTACATATGGCCAGTACACCACGAGATAATCTTAGGCCTGTCGTGGGTGACCCAGTGGATGGCGCAGATGCGTTCCCACGATGACACAATAGAGGTCCGTCCGCCAGGAAGCGATGCATCTTCCTGATTGCCGTTGGGAACGGTGAAGTGCAACTCTCAGCAGAAGCAGTGGATGCCGCGGGAAGATAAAGGGGAGCGGGGGGTGGGGTGGGGGAGTTGCACTGCACGGCGAGCAACACCCGCAACGGGACCAGCAGCACGAGCAGCAGGAGACACGTTTCAGACCTACCGCACTCTACATGGATACTGGCACACGAGGTCGCGCTTTCCGCCTATGGAAGGGCAGCTGTAGCATGGTCTGTCGACAGTTAGCACAGGAGCCTTCAGGTTGCGTGCAAGCGCATGGAAACGTTCTGTAAGTGTATTCAGGGGTATAGTATGGAGCGAAGGAAGCTTCTTTGAAGCTTCCTTGTGAGCGCGCGTGTGGCTGGCTTGCTTCACCAGCCGCAGCAAGGTGCGCTGCAATCCCATTTCACGCTGCCTCCTCCCCACAGCAGCTAGCATTTGGCTAAAATTTAGTTAATTGAAGCCAGAGTTAATGCGAGTTATTACAATTGCTTATAATTAAGAACCCGAACCCGGATGAATTAATTGTGCCCAGAATTAAATATAGATAAGTCTGTGTAGAGGTATGAACTGGTTGATATTGCAAAATCATCTGAAGAGGTGATGTTAGCGGCGAAATGCATATCGAATTCGTAGCTAGCTGGTTCTGCTCAACGCCCAGGAGGCCTGGGGACAGGGGAAGGAGGTCAGCTGCTTTTGGGAAACTCTTGCTTTAAGTCTTTGCCTACATTGCAACTGGATTAAGGCCACAGTGCAACCGTTATACTGGATGTATGGTGCCCGGGGGCTCGACAGGGCATAGGAATATGAAATACTCCCTCCTGAAAGGGTGAGCTAAAGTTTTCTTCAAACAATACGGCAAAATGTTCTTAAATGAATACTATTTGAATGTAGGTGTAGGCATCTAGACCACGCACACACAAGCCAACGCCCAGGTTTGACGTATGCGTCTGATGGGTCGGAAGACCAAAGATAAAAAGCAGAGATGCGGAAAGTAACGGAATGGTGAAAGATGCACGAAAACAAATTCACGCACATAGGTGAAGTCTACGAAAATACGAGAATATTAATCTTGGACTGGATTGAGCCGAGATCGGTAACGTCCCTTCGTGACCCCAGGGGTCGGCTACGGGGCACCGCCTTAGGCTGCCTCAGTCAGTCGGCTGCGCCTTCGCCCAGGCAGGCATCTATGTTACATACGACTGTCAGTAACTGGGTGAGTGATCCTAACGACGAGCTTATACGTGACTCAAGCGTGCTCCTAATTGAGAAGTGCGAATTATAATCTAAGAAGAGAGACGAATATACTAGCTGATATAGTAAAGCTTCCCTATTGTATTGCGCACTCACTACCGAATCCCTGGGGCGCTCCACGGGGGGTTACAACCGTTTCAATCGGTCCTCAGTACTGCTTGTTAAGCCTTGTTAGCACAAAGCACACGAAAACTCATACGAGCAACAACATTACAATTATTTTTGTCTTATTCTCCCCCTGTAATGTGCCACTACTCTTTTTGACTAGCACGCACGGTGTAACGGCCAGCGCTACATGCAGCCCCTGCAGCAGTTTTCGGCGAATTTATCCTGTGGGGGCAGTTCAGGCACCCGTTAACGAAGATCCCTATATAAAAACAAGCCTTGCGCATCGGCATACGTGGAAGGCTGCATGTCTGCTGTCCAAACGTTAGGGTTGAGACGACGGGTGGAAACAACGGAGGGCTCATCGCCCCTCAGCGCCAAAGGAAGACAGATCCATCATTGAAAACTCCTCTACTCGAGCCGATTAGGATATTTGCCTCATCTCCTTACACGACGTGGTCTTGTAAGGCGAAGATCCTGGAGCCCGCAGCTAGTAGTGTGCGCGAATTCCCTCGAGACAATGAGCAGTTTCTACGTTGCATCCGGAGGCGACGCCGATGACAGTACTTGGGGTCCAGGAGCATGTACATCACTATCTCAGCTCCAAGGCATAAAACGCTTGACACTTGCTCAAATCCTGGCGAAAAAGAGGCGTCAAGAGAAAATCGTCATGTGCACAGTGCGGTATTGTGACCTACGCACTAGTTCTTTGCATTAAGTCTAGTCGAACTCTTGCCTATGTTCACGAATTGCGCGGTAATGCTTCAGTATTCATGCGTGAATAGATGAATAGGTTAGAACTATACAATTTGGTTTGCCTACTGCACCGTTCGCCGCAAAACTTAGCAGGAGGAAAAAATATGGAGCCCAACACGCTTAGGAAGCGCAGCACATCCTGACCAAATGCTCTGTGCAGGCATACGACTTATTTACTGCGCGCGTTGCAGACGATGCGCTGGTCGATATCCAACTCGTTGGCGATTCTCTCGCAAATGTTGTTTTAGGTGGGCTCCAGAACAGATGCTGCTTTTGACCTCGTTTGCAGGGACGAACACTTAGGATCTGCTGAGCGCAATTGTTTGTCTCAGCGAGTCAATTCCCATTGTATGCAGGGGAACCTCGAACAACAGCTGTTGATCTGGACACCATGATTTTGTTCGCCAAGCTCGTAGTAAAAGGTGGGTTGGTGTAATCGCACCAGCATTGTTTAGGTGAATGCAGCTATTTGGCTTGCATGAGGTGACTATGTGCATCAGTATCTAGGGGCCGGGGAAGAAGAGTAGCCGTTAGAACATCCTGTGATACACATGCATTCGTGTAGAACATTCGTGTAGAGGCTTTCGTGACTGGGGTCCATCCCTTGTTAGTTGCTGTGCAGGCTCTCGCCGATCCCTCGTGATGTTCGACCTTCCGTACGGCACCTATAATACGCCGGAAGAAGCTGTCGCGTCAACTGTGAAGGTAGTCCAGGCGACGGGTATTCAGCTGGTTAAGCTAGAGGGCAACCATCCGGAGATAGTTAGGGCAAGTTTTTCCATTGGGACACGATTGCAAAATATGTGCACGTGGGGGGGCTTCAATAGCCAAGCAGGGAAAGCTTCGCTGACTTGCGTTTTGCAGTTGTTGCTTAACCGGGGATATCTCTGCTCGTTGCTGTGGGGCATTCACATGTCTTGCAGGAGGTGCAGAAGCATGCAGCAGTATGTTGCCACATTGGCTTGCTCCCACAAACCGCCACATCGTTTGCGAGCACAGGTCAGTATAATACACTGACAGTGCTCGTGCAGGCTCGCCGTGCATAAACTATGCGTGACTTTGGAGATGCCAGTGGCACAGCAAACGCTTTGCATCTGCACAGGAAGCACAGCAGACGATGCAGAAAGACTTCTGCAAGAGGCGATTGACCTGCAGAATGCAGGTGGGTAGTAAACTTAGACGCTGATTCCGACGTAGTAGGCCTGCTCAAGGGTGGCAGCTCCCAGGAGGTTCGGGAGGATGTAATTGGAAGCTCTAGAGTTAATGCCAGCTTGTAGCCTGAACCTGGTAAGTAGTCTCTAAAAGTATACGCCTGTGTTCTTCAATACAGGTGCTTCCCTCATAGTCCTGGAGATGGTCTGTGCTGAGGCGGCGGAACTGATATCGAAGACCCTGCGCATCCCTACAATAGGAATTGGAGCAGGTCGGTCTTACTAAGTAAATTATGTCAACTGGAGCGTCTTTTCGGTCAACAGTAAGCTTCTGGTATGGGCGAGTATTGCAGGAGTGGTATTTCGCATAATGGTAGTCTGCCCCCTAGCCGTGAACTCTAATTCTACGACGATAATGAACGCTGCGTGAGCTTTTCCCAGGTATCGGGTGTGACGGCCAGGTTCTGGTCATTCACGACATGCTGGGGCTATGCGGCCCCGGAACTAAAGCTTTTAAATTTGCAAAAAGGTGAAATGCTTAGCGGCTGCATGCTGCACTGTCGCATTAAACACTCTAGCTTTAAATTACACTTAAAAGTCCTGCCCATTGGGTCAAGACCGTAGCTAGCGCGATTGACTGTTCCTGCGGGGCTGATGCTTCTCAGATACGCTAACCTGTATGACGCTGCGGTCTCGGCTGTGGGGACCTACAGAGCTGAAGTGGTGGCAGGTTCCTTCCCAAGAACCTGCAATTCAAGTTTCATGAAACCAGCGGAAACCGAGAAACTGCATGCCAGGTGCTCGGGCCGGTTGGCAGCAGAAGACGCGCCAAAGGTGTTACCTTCAGGAAATGGCGTCACGAGTTCTCATGCGTCTGACACAACGATGGGGGGCACTACGCCGGTGGGCACCTCGCCCCACTCCGGCGAGCCCGTTCAAACAGGCCCATACAAAGTATGTGTGTTTGGTGGTGGCCGCATGGGGCAGCTCCTTGCGTGGATCATGGCAGGTTCACCCTGCTTTTCCTCCAGTGATAGTCGAGACAGTGCCGTCCTGCAGCAGATGCAGATGAGCGGAACAGAGGTTACTATCTGTACATCGAGAGAAGACTTGATTGCTGCTTGTACCCAAGCGAAGGGACTGCTAAGCGTTGTGCAATCAGCCAGCAGCCCACACCCGGGTGACTCCGAAGGGGGCGCCAAACATTCGTTCATGCTAACGAACGAAGTCGTCAACATCGGCTGCCTGCCTACAGGCGCGGAAGAGCGCCGGCCAGTTAAAGTGATTTCGCGGAAAGCAGCGGAGACGCTTGGTCGTGTGTTTGATCTTGTTATTATAGCTTGTCTCTCAAGCGATACTCAGGAGATAGGTGTGTTGGACGGCTTACCGCTGGATAAATGCATGATCACCAAAACGTTTAGTGGTCGACAATTGTGCATTTAACTTTTGTTATTCTGGGGTTGTGCATTTTCATTGGAAATGGTGATGTTGTGGCCCTGTGTGAAAATGTGTTGCGCGACATGTAGTAGCTAAGGAATACCGCAATGCTAATGTTCACATGTGGCTTTTGATTGTGCAGCTGAGTGTGCATTCCGCTGTGCACGAGCTGACGGGACTGTAGCTTCTGTGCAAAACGGACTAAAATCACCGCGTATACTACGGTCACTGCATGATCGGCTGCTACTGTCCGAGGTAAGTTTGACAATTGCATCAGTTGTACATCGAGCTATTATTTGTTTTTTCATACGTTTCAACCAGAATTTGGGATTTTCCTGTGTGCTCAGGGCAGTTCTCCCCATCTAGTGTTTATGCCGACGTCCCTAGCTGCCGTTGAAGAGGTTTGCTATTACCAGCAGGCAGCTGTCCCTTCTAACGGGTGTACCGGGCATGTGTAGATGGAGGTTGCATGCGCTGCCGATCGAAATCGACTGAACGGTTCAATAATGATTCAGTTTGTTCAGGGGCCCGATTGATGCTGCAAAAAGGGGCACTTTGCTTTTCTGCTCTGTCACCCACACCGAGCGGTCTTCCATATTGACACTCTTCAAACGCGTCCATGGAAGAGTCCAAGCACTGTGAGGAGTGCAGTGCTGACCGCTGTGTTATGCCCATTCTCAGGAGCCACTGCGTATTCAGAAGGTTGGCAATGGCCACGTAAAGATATGCGGATATCTTCAAAGAGCATTCCAGAAGGCTGAAGAGTTGCATGCAATGCTCGTGGCCAGAGGTATCACCATTCGCCTACTTGCATGAACCCACAGTACCCTGCACTGCACTTTTAATGGCTGCGTCCCGTCGCTGTTTAGCAGCTGCCCTGGCTGTAACGTTCTCGTAGCTCACACGCAAAAGGCGGGCCCTTTTGTGTAGTTACACGACTGTATCATGCGCAGGCGTGTCGTGCGAAGTCGTACCATATCAGCGGTTGGATGAAGTGCTCTGGGAAAAGGCAGCAGTCAACTGCTTTATCAACCCCTTGGCTGCTTTGCTAAACTGCGCCAATGGTCAGCTCGTCGACCCCAGGATGGAGCTTGCCAGGTGCGCATAAAGCCGCATCCAGGTCGATGCACTGCATACCATGTAGAAGCTCAGTGAGAGTTTCCTGAAATAAGTGCTAGGAAGCACTCCATTGCCCGTTGCGTGTGACTCATTTTTCTCAGGAAGCTTGTGGTTTCCGAGGTCGTGGCGGTTGCTAGAGCGAAAGGGATCCCACTGACATTTGTACGTCCTCGTCAGCTGCAGTTTTACTTAAGCTGCCTCGTTTCATAAGGTGTGATCTCAAACTGCGGAGTATATTGTCCTTTGGAGTGTTGGGCTTTTTGCTTTCATTCGTAATTCAGGCATCTGCTTGTGCCGCTGCCGTCACTGTCGCCCGCGCGTCCATGGAAAACATATCTTCAACGCTTGGCCAGCTTCGCCAAGGCCGCAAAGTGGAACTTGTAGATATTTCTGGAGAGGGTAAGAATATATTCCCCTGTGCTACCCAGTAACACGGGCCTGCAAAGGTGCGCATCGCTGTGCTGTGTGAGCGTTCAGTAATAAGAGAAGCGAACGCAGTTGGCCTGAAGGCCCCCGTTAACAGACTGCTGCTGGAGTTGGTAGGACTGCTCGAAACTACCCAAGCTCGCCGACTCCCAGTACAGCAGCAACTTCCGGGGAAATGAGACACCCTTGTTTGGAGAAGTGCGTGCAAGCAGAGTGAAACGCATCTAGTCTTTGCTGGTTACGATGCGTTATTCACAGTAAACTCGGATGGTAATTAGTGCCAAACAAACCCAAACGAGCTCTACACAGTGTTTATTCGCTCAGCTGAAGTTACTGCATACGTGCTAAACACATGTAGCTGTCTTTACAAATTGGGTGTTAGCACTCCAGGACAAGTGCTGGGGTCTTTTTTTAGCCTAAATTCGGCATTCTCAAGATGCTCACCCGGCATTCTCAAGATGCGCAGGCCTAGCACAGCCCATGCGCGCAGTAAGATGCGAACTACTTTACAGATCGCAACCACATAGTTGGTAAACACTCCATATTTTTTCACAGCCACTTCTGTTAGGCTCACTGCAACTGGTATCTTTGTCCCCAAGGTCGGGGGAGCAGCAAATGGTGCCGCTGCATCCAAACAGTCTAAAAAAATCTCCGGGTCACGGAACGTTGTCGAGATAATTTAATATTCCTCCCCTCGCGAACGTTGGAATTTGATCGTTGGTGCGTCACAACTGAGCAGGTGTTGGTTACAAAGACCAAGTAGCACATGCTTTTTTTGCTGCGCAGCCGAATCTTATGCCCCCAGAAAACACTTCACATCATGCAGGGGCCGGCCAAAGCTTGTCACAAGCAGCTGCGAAGCGAAGTGGACGCAGCACTGCGCGGCCACTCAATGAAGCTTCTCGGTAAATGCAGGAATCGCCTTCTTCCCCCCCATGCAATTTTCAGTGCTTCGCATGCCATTGATACCGCGCCTCCTTATGGTAGGAGTAGAAACGCTGGATAAATGAGTATGCCGACTCAGGTCCATGGGATCCGTACGGGTAAGGTTCCGGTTTCACCCCTGGCTCATCGATCTGCCGAAGTAATGGTGTGAAGATGCGCCAAGCCTCGCGCAACTCATCTGCAACGCAGAACACCAAAACAGGGATTATACTACTGTACGTCCGATAGCTTGTTGCAAGGAATTCATCACGCCAGCAGCTTGCTTGCTGCAAGCTGCGGCGTGGTGAATCGAGAGCTTGGCGATCTGACCAGTCCTAACGAAGTTCTGTCTGTCCCCTTTGATTACGTCCAGCAGCAGTCGCTCATAGGCATCGGGAAGTCGATCAACCTGCAGTCGGTCCATTACTGTATGTCACAGCAACAGGCAGAAAACGGCAGAAAGCGAACTGCGCAATGCAGCATATACTGTGCTCTTCACCACGTCAGTTCACTATGCTGCATTGCGATGCGGCAGCTTTCGATTCCCTTTTTGCGCAGAAGCGCACCTGATAGGTCTAGTTCTGTCAACTGGAGTCCTGAGGCAAGCCCAGGCTTCTTGGTATAGAACTTCAGGTAAATAGCTTCATGGGGTTGTACCTGAGAGAGGTGCAATTCATCGCAATCTCATGCCTAGTTGATTGAAGAGCTGAAAGGCGTCCAAGGCATATGGGGCTAGCGCATTCTCCTTCTTGAGATCAATCAATATGAGACGGCATCATTAATACGCAGTAAACAGGCGTCGTTACGTACGATGATGACAAGTTCGTTCTCTGAAAGATCTTCTTCAGGATAAAATGACTGAGCAATTGGGCGCAGCTGAATACGAATTTCCGTGCAGCGCTTCTCCAAAGCTTTACCAGCCTATAGATATAGCACCAGAGTAGAACAGAACATTCTTCAGGAAAGAGGCAGCAGGCGCTGTTGTTCGCTACTCGTCTGTTCCTATGGTAGTGAAGGGGCTTCGGTATGTGGAGTAACATGCCTTGAATATAAAAGGGACGTCCCGCCACCGTTCATTCTCGATCCACAGCGCGCATGCGCAGAAGGTCGGCGTCCGAGAATCGGGGGGCACCCCGGGGTCCTGCAGTGTAGCATCCGCAGCTCTATATACAGCTATGCAGGCAGCTATTCTGCTTCAACACAAGCGGTCTTGCAAACGACCCGGCCAGGGAATGGGCGCAACATACATCTAAATAACCTGGTTGTGTTCCATCCAAAGACGCTGTATACTGTCCCAAGATTGTCTCCTCCAGTTCTGAAAGCGCGCAAGTAATGATGCACGAAAAAAAAATGCAAAGTACTCCACAAGCGTATTTTGGCACAGTTGAGAAGCGATTGCTTGGTGCTTCTAAGAAGGCAAGATTTGGTGAGGTCTAGACTTGCGCAAACCTACTGATGGGAGGCATCTGCTTCAGAACCTTGACCTTTTCATCTCTCACGTCTTCGTCGCTCAGTGATGCAGGAGGCTCCATGGCAATTAAAGTCAGCAACTGCAACATGTGATTTTGCATCACGTCCCGAATAATACCTGCAAGTTATTTAAAAGGGTGCCCAGACGCAAGTATGCCTTGAACATAATATGCAAGTACCAGGCACGCAAGTATGCCTTGAACATAATGTGCAAGTACCAGGCAATGGCAGCACCCACTCTGGCCTCACCATAGCTATTGAAGTATCCTCCACGGCCTTTGGTCCCGATATCTTCCTTGAACGTAATACGTACGCAACGTACATTGTGCCTATGGAAGAGCTGCACGCACACAGTCATGCGCAATGGTTACGGGAATTCGCAAAGCTTGCATAGGGAGGTAAAAGGTGCTACTTTGCTGGATCGGTCTGTGGGCAGACTGAATTAAGTCGGCTTGTGTGCCCCACACAAAGGCAAGAATGCGTACGTGTTTAAATGCGACGTTGGCAAACCGCAGAGCAATGATCGACAGAGTCATCTCCTTGCCCAGGTAATGGTCAATGCGGTATATCTGACGAAAAAATCCCCAGCCAGAATGCTCCGTGCGGACAACCTTACGTCTTCCTTACGTACAAATGATAGTGTACCTAGGCTGTTGCCCAGTGTTAAAGATATTCACTTGCGCTTGCGTGGTCTCACCTCTTTCTCTTGAAGGACTTCCATAAGCTCGTTCGATAATTTTTCCGAACTTTCACTGTCTCGTCCAAATGGTTTCTCAACGACCACTCTGTTCCAGCCTGAGAGAGCAGAGAACCCAGCCCCACAGTTGTTGTGATGAATGCTGAGGGACAAAAGTTTGTCTGTGGACTTGTTCGCCCACTGGCAGCTGTGACCAAAGGCAGGGCTGAATTGACGATGCAAACGCTGCAAATGCTATAAAAGCCTAGAGCAGCACGTCACCAGAGGCATTGTGTAATGTGCATACAATGCATACCCTTCAGTGCCCAGCAGTGCTTCCTGATTGAACGCACATTAAGAGCAAACAGGTGCGGTGGAAGTGCCAAGTAGAAGAGCCTGTTGTTGTTTCTTTCTGAACCTTCTAAACAATCCAGATGATGGCTGAGTTTCTTGAGTGCAACCTCATCATCGTAGCTTTCTCCACTTCTGTAGTAAGAACCAAGTTCGCCCGCAACCGATGCTTGTGGAACCCCTGGGACGTGCTGATGCAGCTACCAGGTAGTTTCACTTCAGGGTGAAATTAACGCAAGCATAGTAAGGGCTCCGTACATGTATGAGCATATGCTTCTAAAGCGCTGGACAAGGTCCTCGCATTTGCTACTTAAGGGGGCCACCTGGCGTGCGAAGTAAGTGGACAACTCCCTGAAGTTCGCACTCAAGACGCAGCACAGACGATAGCGGTCTCGCGCGCACACACCCACAATTTTGAGTCCTAATTGCTCATCCTTCACTGCATAAATTTGAATACAAAGGATATGTTTACGTACGTAAGATGCTCCGCTATCTGTTTCCAAAACTCGCCTAAGTCTAACTTTGAACGGGCAAACCCCTGCAAAGACGCAACGCAAATGACGAAGCGCATGAATCAGTGCACAAGGCCGCCCCAGTACCACCTGGAACTGCAAAAATGGCGCCTTCGGAAACTTAGTGACTTAGGCCCTGACCGGGTGTGTAGCTGCGCAACATGAGATAGCGGCCTACCACAATGTGCACGTTTGGAGGTAGTAGTCCTTCACAGAAAAGGCTGAAAAGAGCGGGGCTGAAATACAGTTCGACACCGCACAGCTACGAGTTTGTTGCGAAATCAACTTCCCAAAGTTTCACATCAGCTCGGCCCTTGCGAACACCACTTTTTTTTTAAGTTAAGCAGCGTTTATTGGGGCTTGCTTGCTCACTAAGTCTTCCTCTTCGCAAGGTCCCCACTTGCGCCAAAGACGACGACAGACAGATGATGTGTTTCACTCATACTCAGTATTGACTGCTTCCGAAACTGAGAGCGGTTTGCATTTCTCCGTCTTCTAGAGAAGTCGTCAATCGAAGGAAAAGAGACAACATAAGACGCTCCGCTATTGATCACTTCAAGGGCCGGGAACTTAAGTGGGGACTGGACATCACTCACAACCGCAATACTGCAGCGCTGACTATGGACTATGGAGCGTATATCACTCACAACTGCTATACAGCTACACTGTATGAATACGCACGAATCCCTTCTCGAAAGACACATCATACAGAAAAACAAACCAGGGACTCAACGCACTTGCTCCGGGTCAGATTCCATTCGGAACCAAGTGTCCAATTTTGATTCCCCCTTGATAAGAAAAACCTTCCGGCTCGCTCCAGCCAGCAGTTGTAGAGTTACCGAGATGCGGTCGTGAACGTCAAAACTGTTGGAAAACAACCACGACAACAGATCCCATAGGTTGCACCTAGGGTTCAAATCAAAGCTGAGAACTGTGGCAGGTCAAAACCAGGTCAAAAAATCTTACCGGTCAGTAGTAGAGTGAACCACCATGACATTTGGGCATACCGCAGCCTCATACTGAGCTGTGCTTAGAGGTGGGAAGATCGATGCGATGTGGCCATCGTCCCCCATGCCCAGGAGGACAAGGTCCACACCTCCGTGTCTCCAGAGCAAGTTGCTCAAGCTCTGCTCGCACACCCAAGGGATAAAGCAATGCAAGTGACAAGAAATGCTTGCTGCAACAAACCCGCACAAGTAGTTAGAGAAGGCAACGTATATGATCCATCTGTAGTATGCGGAGACAATAAGATGAAGCAGCTCCACCAGTCGCAGCGCTCGCGAGATATGCGTAGCCTTCCAATCGCATAGTGGTGGGACCAGCAAAATCCTTCGCTTGCACACAAGGCGGCGAATTCTCTGGATCATAAGCAAAGCTCACTTCTCTGTACTTCTCAATGCATTGATCCAAGGGCAGAGATGTGTCTGGATATGAGAAGTCGAAGCTGGGGTGGGGCCATGAATCAGCTGTCGGCCTAAATTTCATAGCACCGCCGGCTTCCGGATCGCTCCAGACTTCTTGCCCAAACAGCTCCTCCATTACCAGGCGGACGTTCGACTTTGGATGCGTAGGTGGTACATAACGCTCATCAACAAGGAAAAAGCTCACGCGAGAAAAATCGATGGCTAGATGCGATGTTGTTCCTGAGCCATGTTGACCGCTCGCAGGTGAGACCTGGCCCTTGGCTCTCTCAGCATGTGCAATGGCTGTCTGTCTGAGTGCCGCGTACAACGGCCCAGGAGTGCTGCCGCCTAACACACAACGTCCACGCACAAAACATAATTGTGGGAACGATAGCGCTCAGACTAGGGAATTTCGCCTTCGGCGCAACGATGCATTGATACCGCATAATGTGGCCCATAACAAACACCACAAGGCTAATGTTATGCTGAGACTACGCCGTTGCAATATGGTACTTGCTCCACACTACCCCACCTGAGAGTCCAACGAGAAGCTGTTTAAATGGATTCGCGTCCAGCAGCGTCCTAAGGCTTCTGAGGACCAGATCAAGGCTCTGTGCTTCGAAATCCTCGGAACTTTGGCATGCTACACTTACGGCGACAGGCTGGGTTAATCTGAGTCTCCTTTCCGAGGGTGAAGCAGCCGCACTTGGTAGGAACGGGACCCCTCCGCCTTCGGTGTTCCCAGGCTGCAGGAAGAAGTCACCTGCAAAAAGCAGAAGTGACCCCATTGTGGGGAGTCAACTTTCCATGGTGTCAACTCCCCCATATGGCCTTTTCGACGCAGTTCACTACGTCGCCGCACAACCCTGCTGCAAGCAGTTCAAGGGCCAGTTCCGCAGGGAACTACCACGCCTTCATCCGCATTGTCAGTGAGGCGTGGAAATGGCCATTAGTGTAACAAACTCTTAGAGATCAAATGCTTCAAGAATGCACAGCATTAGCTGCGCATGTATTCCCCCACGTGTGCACCGCGCACGCGTTCTTCGGCATACGCGAATGCATTTCTTTCAGAGCTAAAATGTCTCCCTTCACGTCTGCTGCAGGATAAGCTCAATATATCTATGCTTACTATTAGGGATTTTCGACATGTTTCCAGAAACCTGCTTCGCCTGTGTAGGACAGAGTTGCTGCTCGCGAACTGGACTGCTGACGTCGCACGTCGGTGGTCTGACACGTTTTGCAGCTAAGCTCTAGGGAAAACCATGTAGGAAGACTGTTACGAGGTGCTCTAAACCATGTAACAAACAGAATTTTGAATGAATTGCTCTCCGGAGTGGAAAGGCGCTGGCGGGAACCCCTTAGTAGGTTCAACAGTGAGTCGGGACTGATACCGGTCGGCTTCCTTCAGCGTGCAAAATATTAGCACGCAAGCAAGCATTTTCAGCTATATCAATAGTTAAGGTAAATGATATTCACACATAAAAGCGTAGAACGCCTAGTGTTTGTCTTGTCTTGTTCCGTGATTCTTTGGTAGGTGTGTGCTGTCTTGAGAACCACTGTGTGGTGCCGTGGTGCAATACTGAGGGATTTGCCGAGTATATGGTGAAGCTCCGCCCCAAAACAAACAATACGTGTCAAAGAGGGGAAGCTGAGTGTTATTTCTTGGAGGTGACAAGGAGCCGCCACCATAGTTTTCCGACTTCTGCTACTTCGTTCGTAGCGTGTTTGTATCTTCCCACTACCTTCTATATGCCGGCAACTGTCAATTTCCAGGCGAGTAGTTCGGACTCTACCCGCTATCATCTCCTTGAATATGCCATTGTTTGGCTTCAATGCCTTATTTAAGCTGCTTCGATACGTTTTTACCTTCCTCTTGATCGGTGATGCCAGCTCATTACGCGTTAAGCAAGGGGGGTTCGGTTGTGCACCTCCCGGTTTGACCCCGCAAGGCTAGGTGTTCACCCTCTTCGACAATTTAATATAATGTCATTCTTCGAAATTACGCCCTAATTTCTAGTCCATTTGTCTCCCATTTCGTTCTCAGTCGCATTGCCCGATGCGTCATCCTGCAGTCAGGTGACCTCGTGACGTGTCTGGCCAGCGCCAGCTGGGCGCGTTGCTCGCCAACCCAAACATGGGAGACTTTCTCTCTGCTTCGATATTTTAGGCTACTGTAACATATGTAGTGCTTATGGCGGTTTGGACAGTAGTTGCACAGGTGGTTCTTCATGCCTAAGCAGTGGCCATGCATCCTTGCTATCAGCGATGCCCTCGCCCTGTTTCGCTCTAGCCACCGCAGTGGTTACAGGGCAGATCACTATACAGCGATCTTCTAGTCTAGTTGTGTGTGTAGGATGCGCTGGGTGCAGTTGGCACATCTATTTCTGCATGCGTGCCGTGTACAATGCTCTGTCCGAAGTTGGTACGCGCGCTTCTGCACGAGTGGAAGTTGGCTACTGAGGGCGAGAGAAGTGTATTCCAATTGTCTATGGCGCTAATTCTTGCATCGAAAGCGGGATTGGGTAGCCTTGCTTCTGGGCTTGCACCAGGAGCAGCGGCGACGAGTGCTGCAACTCACGAGCGGCCGCCTCGTCTCTGCATCAGACCCAGGCATTTGTAGCACTGTATTCGGCAGCCTGAAGACTGGGAGAGAGATCATCTTCTATTGTAGAACTCTTATCTTAGGCATTTTGAACCTACGATGGTCCTCGGATAATGTTGAGGTTTACCGTCGCACTCGTGCAGTATCAACCATGATCAGGTGGAATTTGTTGTTTATGAAAAAGCGTTAGTGGCGTTTGGAAACGCTTCAGTGGAATTAGTCCAAGGGAAGATGGTCCTAAGGGAAAGGAATGGAAAACGTCTCATGTTAGATAGGATCATTTGTTGATCCCCGAGGACGGAAGCTCTTGCTCTGTCCGCCTAAAATGCCGCTTGAAACATCCATTGCAATATTTAGATACTCATGAAGCAGAAGGGTCTGACGGGTCTGTCAGATGTGAGCGAATCTACCGATGACGTGTCCATGCTTGCTATTTCAAGTGCAGCAAGTGTTCAACAATTAACTGCGGTGTTGGTGCGTGCACGGTATATGGGTTTTGGGATGCGTTCTCCTCGAATTGCCTGCGCAGCGGGAATTAACAGCAGGACGTGCTTCGACAGGAAAGGACGAGCCTTGGAAAGAGATGGAAAGCTTATGTACGCCCTATAATGGTACGCTTCACGCCAGTGCACGACGCAGCTACTAAGCGCAGCCAGTGTGCAAAAAAGCACGGACGCAAGGCTTCAGTATCGTACCTTTACTGGGAGGCTACATGGAAGCGCTGCTGCGTTGAATGGGTCACTCCCCTACACAGAATTAAACCCATTTGTAGCTTGATTGAGCAGACAGTTCAGCAGCTCCATACACCCTAGTCAAATGTGACTGATAACCTTGTAGCTCCAAATGAATAAACCAGCACGTTCAGCCATCTTTTTTCGCACAGCAAACGCCTCTACTCTGGACATAGGAAGCTATTCGAGGCTTCACGCCTGGAAGATAAGTTTTTATTTCTGCATGACGCACTTGATTCAGCAGACTCTGTTTGTGACTGAGTGTTATGGATTGGTTCGAAGATCCCCTGTAAACTCCTGTTTACCTCTTCAGATGTAGTGGAACAAGTTATAACACTAGCAGGGTGCTGCAGCTATCGGTGAACTTCATTCCAGGAGTCGTAATTTGAACAGCACCACTTAACCGTCTACATCATGTTTTCGCTACTCACGCTAGTGTGTTGTCCACCCCAACAGTTTGGTCTAGGGAGCCAATATGCAGTGGGTAGCGGAAATGCAGTTAACAAAAAGGGGCATCCGCTAGTTGCCAGATAGGCATCCACACGGCATTTCAGTTCAGAATTTATGATCACGGCTTTAAGCTCCCCCAAGCGGCAAACATGAGTTCACTGGCACGCCATTGCTTGAAAAACTGACCACGCTTAACAGCCGTTTCGCAGTATTTCTTCCCCGCACTCTAATCTCTGTGCTACCGCAGTTGTCACACCGGTGCAAGCTCCATTAATTTTCGGGGACGGAATAGGGACGTCTGTCTCTTTCAGAACTTAGTTCATATCAAGCCCCTTAATTTCATGGAGGCTCGAGAAATAGACAGAGTTGATGTAAGGAGTCTTGAGCAGGGAAGGGAGTATGGACGAGCTGGAGACTGAATGCCTAATCACCGTGAAACAAACTAATCTTAACCGAATCCACATTTTCAGGCCGGACAAACTGGCTTTTGCCGCTACAGCAGACTATGGAGTTCGAATTGCTTGCTCCTGCATTACTACAAGGGCTTACATCAGTTGGCGTGCGTTGGACAGCGCTCGTACCCGAGATGCCTCTTCCTATTAAGGATCCAGAGAACCCAAGCAAAAGCAGCCCACAAGGGCGCGCGGGAAGCTGATATGCATGAGCTGCGTTGTGGTCTCTCCTCTCCACAGTTGGTTATTTTGAGCATTAAAACGACTCGGCGATTTGTCAACTATCCCTGGTAGATTTTACCTCTAGCCTAGTTGCGAATGTGGAGGCACAGAGAGAGGCAAAGCTAGGGGATGGGTGTGGTGCGTGAGCACTGCAATGCATTAGTTCTTCTGGCTCCGTTAGACGGACGAGTTTGATTGCCGGGCAGTTAGCGGTTAGCGGTTACCGTCTCGGGCTTGGCAATATATTTGCCAAGCCGGAGACGGTAACCGCTCACCCGGCTCAGCTTCCGCCAGCACCACCATGGGGGTGCGGGCGCCATACCGCCGCAGTTGTGGGCTGGATCCACAGACTGCTTTCAGGGAGTTTCCGGCTGGACCTTCGGGTCCTGCGGCCCATAGACCCCCATAACCTGGTTCTCATGGCGTTTGTATGAATGCTAAAAGTCAATCCTTCCTCTAAAAAACTCTCTTTGAGTGTAACACGCGTCGCATCTCTGATCCTTCTGGTTTGTCAGCCAACTGCCATACAATTGTCAGGATTGCGGACACGGGTGCGCTATCTTCCTGACCAACGGGATTCTAGCGATAACTACAAGTCCGTTCCTTTCCCACATGTTTCAAGATTATCTTCATCTGTAAAAATATAAGGTGCATTCGACAGTTTCAGTAATTTCAGTGTTGCTGGCCCTGCCGTGCAGAACCCTGTAGCATTACAACGGGCCTGTGAGTCGCAATGGCCTAATCTATTGCAGAAACCGCCAAATTTTGTCATCCCACCAGTAATTTATAATTCTGTCAGAAAACCGTGTAACTCTCTGGCAGTCAGCGGAACCTGAACAGAAATGAAACTTCGGGATATCTGGTCCCTGTGGTCTCCAGCCGCCGTGACCGTACACGGTGAGCAGCTGATCGAGGTTACGACACCTTTGTCTGAAAATTTTGTCAAAGCAACCTACCTCTTTACTGCTTATTTTTTTAAAATCTTTTTACATTTGAGTGCAGCTCAGTCGAGCTTTCTCTGTGACTAATCATCGAATCCAAGGTCACTGGGGGAAGAGACACATCGAATCCTGTCTTTGGTGCGTGGCAACAAGGTGGACTATCGGGGGAACACGTGCTAAATTTAAAAGTAACAGGCATTCCATGGCTGTGCAACGCATCTATTATTCTCTTCAAATCATAATATCGTCTCCTGTTTGCCCGGAGCTGCTGTCCAAGACCACTTGAACCGCAGCTGGTGTGAGGGGACGGGTGCGCGTAACCTTCGTTCTAAGCCATATTTGGCCCAATGTTTGACTTGTTCACAGAGTGTGATGAAAAATGAGGATCGAAGAGGTCACTTCGCTTCAACATGCGCAGCGTGTGGCATCTCACAGCCACATCAAGGGCCTCGGACTCTTGCCCGACGGATCGGCCAAAGATATCCATATGGGCATGGTCAGCCTCAAAAATCCACGCCGCTCGATTTTGTTCTATCCCTCCATCTGTAAACTTCCCTGCTATTTCCCACAACGGATGGCACCTCGTTGGGGTCGTTGCATTTCTTAAAATGCACACCATATTCTAACACGTTGCTGTGGAATCTCGAAACAGCTGAGGAAATGAGGCTAGCATAGGGGCAAAGAAACTGGTTCTGAGGCATAAATAACCCCTTTTTGTTTCTGGAATGTCCTCTTTTGATGCGAAGGTAGGACAACACCAGGCGCGAGAAGCGGCAGGGCTTATCGTGGAACTCATAAGGAATAAACGCATGGCTGGAAAGGCTCTGCTTCTAGCTGGTAAGTGGACATGTTAGAGCTTACCAACTACGCCCCAGGCGAAGATAAACCCTCCCCCACTTACCAGAATCGAGGATAGCACGCCGGCACAAGTAGGCCAAGGGACATACACGCCGCAGATTCAAAGGGCAACGCCTATTTTCTGCGGTAGTACTCAGGGCCACCGGGCACCGGCAAGACCGCCATTGCCATGGCAATTGCTCAGGAACTTGGCAGCAAAGTGCCGTTCTGTCCCATGGTAGCTAGCGAGGTGAGTTACAAATGCAGATTTGGAGTAAATATACTCCACGGCCGGCGGCCAGAAGCGCGAAACTCAGCAACACAAACAGCAATCAACAACGAAGTTTATTAAGCTATTAGATGGCAGCCCTGCCTGCACCATACAAATGGCACAGCTTTTTGCTTCTGGCTGCGCAGGTGTACTCCAGTGAAGTTAAAAAAACAGAAGTCCTCATGGAAAACTTCCGCAGGGCCATTGGGATAAAGATAAAGGAAGTAAAGGAAGTGTTTGAAGGGCAGGTGGTCAGCTTGGTGAGTTGGGAGAACCAACCCGTAGTCGGCTCACTCTCAGTCAACTGATCGATTCCTTTGCCATTTGCACCATACCAAAAAGTGATAAATACGATCTTCCTGCAGACGGACGAGCCGGGCGACGGTTTCACTGCTCCTGAGAGTTCATCACGGAGCGATCCTCACGAGGAAACTCCTTGTCCTCCCGTGCGGATCACACTGAAGACGAGCAAGGGCTCCAAAACACTGCGTCTCCACTCCAGCATCAACCAGGGTCAGCCGAATCAGGCCATTCTGCATGTGTATCTTTCGTTAGTGAGGAGGCGAGTGGCACAAACACCGTGTCCAAAAGAATGCCCATGGGATTGATGACGGGTTGTGCAAGTTCCTCAGGGCTGAAGAAGGAAAAAGTTGCAGTGGGAGACGTCATTTATGTCGAAGCCGCCACAGGTCAAGTGCGCCGGGTCGGGCGAAGTGAAGAATTCGCCGGACAGTTCGATTTGGAGGCTGACCAGTTTGTGCCAGTTCCCAAAGGCGACGTCCACAAGAAAAAGGAGGTCATACAGGTACCTGCATTTACTTCCAGTCCCGTAACAGTGAGAAAACCTCTAACACATAGAAATATTCATTGCATTTCGCACCATGTCATGCATGTATGCTCAACAACGTCTTCAGGATGTGACTCTCCACGATTTAGACGCAGCCAACGCCAAGCCCTCTGGAGGCGCTCCGCTGGCTTCTCTCTTAGGACATTTCTCCAAGCCGCGGAAGACGGAGATTACAGAGAAACTCCGACAAGAAATTAACAAAGTCGTCAATAAGTATCTTGACCAAGGCGTTGCTGAACTGGTGCCCGGGGTCCTGTTTATTGATGAGGTGCTGCAACGCCTCCACCAATCCTCGGTCTCATCGTCTCTTAGCCGAGCCACTGCAGTAGCGGCAGCCCCGTTTGATTGTTTAGCGTGTCGAGGCGCGACCCACTTGCAAGGAAGTTGAAAAGAGTTGCGCTTCTGTCCAGCAAAGGAATGTGAACAGCTTCCGCTTCGATACCGCACCTCGAAAAGGGAGAAACCGTAGTAGCTGTAAAGTAAACGCCTGTGGGTATTCTTGAGTTGCTTGTGCTCAGGTGCACATGCTGGACGTGGAATGCTTCACATACTTAAACCGTGCTCTTGAAAGCCCTTTGTCGCCTGTCGTCGTCGTCGCCACCAATCGGGGCGTCTGCACTATACGGGGAACGGACGTCATGAGCTCGCACGGGGTGCCTGTAGATCTACTGGACCGCATGTTAATTGTCCGTACACAGCAGTACTCTAAGGAGGAAATAAAAGAGGTGAGTTGCAGTAGCAGCGAGTCACACCCACCCCTTCAGTGGTGACAACCGAGGGCAAAATCTGGGTGAAGTAGCAAAAAAATAATCTGCTTCCCACGAATATCCCACATCTCATGCTTGTACGGTGGGCCTACTGTGTTGTGCCCGTCAGGTTCTAGATATTCGCTGCCGTGCAGAAGGGCTGTCTTTAAGTCCTGACGCTGCCGAGGTGTTGGCGTCCGTCGGAGTCCGCACGTCGCTGCGCTACGCAGTGCATCTCCTAACTCCCGCTGCCATTCTGGCCCGGGCAGATATTACGGACGAAGGCTATGACAACGCAGAGCCAGGCGAACCAGTCATTCAGCTGCGGCATGTCCAAGAAGTTGACTCTTTGTTCCAGGACGCAAAGACGTCCTCAAAACGCCTTGCAAGAGAGGCCGATTTTTTCATTCAGTAGACAAAAAAACAAAAGGTCTCCTTACAAACATAATTGCGTTAAAGGACCGTATTAGGGCCTACAAAGAGGCTTATACAAGAGCCCTTCCGCGTTTGAGCGACTTGTTGGCAGCAAAAGTCGAGCGCCAATTGAAAACATGATAAATCTGACTATCAATGTTCTACAGCGTATTTCCTCCCCCAAATGCCCTCTGCAGTGAGCTCCTTGGCACGTGGCCCACGCTGTGCTTACAGCTCAAGGAAAGAGGCACTAGGGCGGCTGAGGAAATGCTATGGGTTACCGTCGTCAGGGTTTCCACTGTAAATAAAAAGGCCCTGGCGCAGTTTCGATGTGTTGAGCGTCTCTACGCTCATGCGACGTCCACTACTCATATGTCGCCTTGCAGACACTCCGTACCATTGCACCACACTCTGCGGGTTCCTCCACGGTCTTCAATTCCTACGGTTTCGTGTTCAACGCAGAGCCACGCGCTCCATTACGTTTCGTCTGCAGCTGATGAGCAGCAGACTTCTGAAGGTGCAGCAAAAGCGACGGGCTTTTAACCTTGACAAGCGCTCCGATGTCGTGCAGTCTGGCCTGTACAGCCACACCCCACAACAGAAACACCTGCAGTAGCCCCCAGTAGTCAATTATTCCCGAGGTGTGATCGAGGCGCACGCAGAGGAACGGAATGTACCCACATGCATTAGGGCAAGCTTCGATTTGAGTGCGTTGTAGCGAAAAGCCATCTGTTGCCGAATCACTTCCTCTGAACTTTGGTGGAAGTCGCACGACAAAAGCTCAATGAACTTGTATTCCATGTTCTGCGTGGACAGAAGAGACATGACAGCGAAAAAAGGCCGATGCTACACAAACGGCACGAGAAAATATACATACCTACCACCACCCACCCATAAGACCCTTCGCCGTACCTGGATGAAATCTAGCCGGCCCTTTCCCGTCGTCTCCATTATGAATACGGCGAGGAAACTGTAGGGGAAACACAACACAAAACAGATTGCACGTATCAGCGAGTACGAACATTCAAAGTAGGCATGCATGAAGATTTTGTTATTTGCGCCCGCATCTATGCGTGCGTACAGCTTACTGCTGTTGGACAAAGATGAACACAAATTCTCTAGTACTGACATGCGAAACTGAAGCAGCAAACGCCAAGACATGCGTAGAGCGTAGTAATATATGTACCTCTGGGGCTCTCTGATGCACGAGTTGAGCATCTTCATAAGGACGTGAGGATAATCCGCGAATTCAATCATCAATTTTTGGCTCTGTTGCATCTGCCGAAAAACCTTCTCATCTACCCTAAAGCACACATTCAGGCTGCACTCTACAAATGTAAACAAAGCGAAGACAAGTTCGCGGACGGTCCCCGCTCGGAACAGCACTCGGTGAGACACTCAGTCAAACACTTCAGTGGAGTTCCAAGAGAATATTCTGGAGCACTGAAGAGCACTGCTATTGTACATACACGTGGGTATAGTGGAAGAACAAGTCGTTCTCGCTGGCGAGCTCAATCCGCACTTCTTGAGGATTTGTTTCTTCTCCCTACAGATCATCACAAAAGCACCACCTTAAAGCAGTTTGGCAGCACGGGCAAAATAAGGCTGTGGAAGAGGTGTCGCATGCCCGTGGAGGGGGGTGCAGGGCCTCCGTCGCTGTGCACGGCTCCTGTTCTATCATGAAACTCCCTGTGCTGTAATCTTATCAATATGGGGAAGTACCCACCAGAATTAGAACTTTCACCCTGATAGGCTCAAGCCTTCCCACGTCCTGAGGTGCTTTGGAGCCCTCCTGCATGCGAAGCTCGCAGGGAACTTCTCGTTCATAGAGGATCACATGGCCGTCAGCTGTACGGGAGAATAGAACACGACACACACCCCACGAAAACTCTCCATTCTCCACCCTTCTAGCACCTGCGCTCACTGCCGTCTCACCAACAGCTAGTGAAGATGGTGATTGCCTACGCCAACGCGGCAAGCAAAGGTGAAATCACGCAGCAGCTTCCAGGCCATGCCGGCAGCTGGACCGCTAGGCAGCGGTAGGCATTGGCGAATGAAGGGGTGAAAAGCAACCACTATACAGCTGCACACTATGGGTATCTGACTTGCCCAGAGAGGGGTCCATTTCATCTATTGCAGAAAAGTCAAAATGCGTCAAAAATGCAGCCGAGTCCGTAGGCGGCAGCATCCCGTCGAAGGCGCAGGCCGCATCCGCTGACATCCGGTTCGCCATCTTCGTGCGGCTTCTAGGGAGGAAAAAAGCAAAATTAAACTCACATGAATTCCCCTGCTAGTTCAATAAATAAAGGGTGTATTCAATGGGGCAACTTCTGCAGTGTTCGTCGTCAACAGCTGCTGGGGTTGAGCTGGGCTTGCGCTTCTCTCACAATTTCCGATTCTCTCTTTTTCTTCTGAGCATAAAATTCCCTCTTCACAAGAGAACAGCCAAACATATCACATGTTTTTGGTCTTATCTACTTTCTAAGGTTCCGTGAAGGTGGCCGTCAGCGAGAGACGCATGCCCTACGGGCCTGAGTCGTGAAGGACCAGGCCACTCTACGTGCAGGCGGACGACGAAAGTCTCTATTTTGAATAAGATACAAGCCAAATAATCTACATCTGAGTTTATTTTTATTCAATTCATAATGAAAAGAGTTATTTACATATGAATCTCCAGCGTATACATCCGAACTCTTCTACCGCGCAGCACGCATCCAGCCGCGCTACACGGACGATAGCTGGCCTTCGCCGTTCCCCACTTAACAGGGTATTTTCAGCGCGGATTTTTTTCTAAGACGCTGCGTATCATGCGAACGTGGCATATCAACGACCGAAATGGGGAGGGAGAGATGACTTCATCTCCCAAAAACACGTAAAACAGTGCAGACCCCGAATATGAAATCATCTGGGGCCCCGTAGGATATGACCCTGGTTCCATTGGGCCAGGCAGCCCTGCCACGCCCACCGAAAACAGGGTAGAAGCCCAAGAGACTGTTTCAGGCGTCGTCGTGCTACGGGACCGCCCCAAGACAGCTGCTTTCTAAAACCATCTCCTCAGACTCGTAGCAATAAAGGGGAAACTAGAATGTGCACGTGTAAAGTGGAGTATGCAGGTCTACATAGAGGAGCCGCATCTACTCTTGCCGCGGAGGACACAACTCTGAAGCTGATAATCTTGCTGCTTTTCACATTAGGGAGCACTAAATATAGCCCTTAGGGCCTCTTCACTCAAAACATTGGAGGCGCTCCGCACCGTGTACATACAATGCCCCCTTAAACAGTTTAACTAAAAGCCTGGCAGTTTCAGTACAAACAGCCAAGCAAAGCGACAACCAAACCCTGCAGTTCGTTTTCCGTATCGTTTGGCCGACACAACTGGGAATGAAGTCCACAGTTTTACCCCTCAGGAGAAGCAGATTTGGGTGTTGCCACGTCATTCCAATTCCGCAATCGCACGCGGAACAAGACTTCATATAAAAAAATAGAAGCAGACGCATACAATTCAACCAGAGTGGAGTATTCAATACATGTTGGTGTAAAAAGAGATGCCGCAACTTGACGCTGGGGGTGACCTCGACCCGTCAGGCGTTCAGCACCGCCTGTGCTGCAGGCGTTCATGTGTCTGTGCGGCTTGCGTTGGGCATTTCGCTCCATACATTCTGTGTTCCTGGACGCTAAATATCATCAAATATCTGTCGAAACCCACCGACTAAAGCAGCGCGTGTAGGACATGTCGGCACATAAAAAAATCTCAGGCACTGCAGCGTAGATACACATTCCGTTCCCTGGCTGGTACTGACTATAGGGTTCGCAGAGTGGCAATTCAGGAGTTGGTAACTTCAAACTAAATAAAGGAGCCCCTTCCTCCTTTCCTTAGAACAGCCTCGCACCCGATCCCAGGCGGCCCAACAACTTGTCCATTATGCCTCCTTGGGCTTGTGCTCTTAACGCCGCTTTCCGTTCTTTTTCCGCCTTGAGTTTTGCACTCATTTCGGGATTGACTTCCGTGGGGGTGATCATACCGCCCATGAAACGAGACTGAGCTGCGCACAACACCCAACCCAAACAAAAGAACCGCCGCCCTCTGCCTGGAGCCGACACTCTTGTAACAGAAAACCCATCCCTAAGAAGCCGAAGCAAAACGCAGTGGAGGACCACCGAAAAAGGCACACTACACATTGAGATGAAGACGACAGACGGAAAGGGAGAAAGACGCTGGACGCGTGTGTGAAGCGCAACCACCCTGAAGCTCAGCATTCATCTAAATGGTTAGTAGTCAAACCAATGGTCCAACTGCCAGACAAACCGTCAAATGCCTCAAAATATTTGTGTTCGTCTCACCAAATAGAGCCGAGTTTGCGCTGAAGAAGGAGAATCCGCCGCTGCCTGCGTTGCCTGTTGGCGACGCACTTGGCTTGCTTTGTTCATCCTCTGTGCCCCCCCAATTTTCTCTGAGCTCTTCATCTAAGTAACCGTTATCATCATCTTGCTGCTGCTGCTGCTCGGCTAGACCGGCCGTGTCTGGTGAGGCGCTGCCACGATTGTTGCCGTTGCCGCCCTCCTCAGGCGCACTGGCGCCCGCAGACTCTTCTACGGCCGTCTCTCCCTCTTTCCTCGGCGCCTTCTGCAGCATCTCGGTGTTCAGCAGCAGCGTCAGAGGGCCCATAACAGCACGCAGCTCTCTGAGTTGGTGCTGCAGCCGTTGGGCCCTGCGGGACAGTCGGATATTCACTACGGCGACTCCGTCACCCTCTTCATTCAGCTGTTTCCACCCCCCCTTATCCACTGCATTGTCTGCTGAGAGAGCCGCCGCTTGCTGCAGCAGACTTCGAGCATTCAGAGTTACTGTTGCGCTTGAAACACCCCACACCCGAACAAGCCGCAGCTGAAGGTTCCGCTGCAGCAGCTCAAGCACCCGCTGCCCCTGCTGCTCCTGTTGCTGTTGTTCAGACCCCTGCGCTTGCTCTTGCTGCTGCTGCTGTGTTGAGAAGTTAAGGAGGCTGCGGTT